GGGTACATGCAATCGTTTACAATAGAAATTTACAACTGAGTTGTCAACAACTGATTTTTACTCCATAGAGGCTAAAAACGATCTTTACTCCCTAAAGAGTAAATACCCCCGCCGCAGCAAACCTGCAGACTAAGCGAATTTCCATTAACCTGATTGGATTTACACTAAAATGCCTCCATAAAAATAGCACATTTATTTCCTATTTAAATATAATTAGTTTAGCGAGTACTTTTGGTTTGCTGCAACAGGGAGGGTAAAAAAGATTTTTTTTATAAAAAGATATTAGTTTAGTAAGAAATAAAAGTATTTTCCAAAATCGATTAAAATATGTTCATAAACAAGCAAACAACAACAGTTGACTTATTCTACATAAAGAATAACATGGGAATTTTAAAATTACAATTTTTTTGAATTTTCTCCGTAACAATTAGGTGCATAATAACGCTTTAATATACTAAATTATTTGTTTTTTTAAGCTCTACAAAATGGTTTAAAAAGAAATTGTGAAATTTTGTGTTTTTAGGGTCACAAATGGAAAAAACCTATTTTTACCCCATAGAACCCCCTATAAACCCCCGTTCCCATAGTCCGATCATGCTGGTTCGCGAACTCATTCAAGTTTATCCCGCCTTACACCTTCAAACCAAATTTTATCAAAATCGGAAAAAAATTACTCAAGTTATCGTGCGGATGTATATATCTATATATAGATATATAAAAATTTGAACGAATGGTGTTTTTGGCCTCTGGGGACATCAAAATGAAAAAGTAAATCGTTCCCGGGCTTAGGTCTTACCATGAGACCTACGGTAATAGCTACTTCCCTATAGGGAAATTCGCTAAAATGCTACTTTAGACCCACAACGCATGCATTAAAAACGACTGTTTTTACTGCAGTATGACAAAAACAATATAGTATGAACCCCTGATGACTCCGCTCAATTTTGTGGATGCCTCTGCAAACGCCACCTAGTTTTATTAGGGCCGGTTACGTCATTTGTTTATGTTTATGATTCATAGACGTATTGATCCGTCCTGTCTTTTCTTCCGTTCTAATAATTCGTGCACGTACAAGGCCCCATCGTAATAAAAGGCTCTTAGGCAAAGCAGCTGATAATACACTAAATTAATACAGTACTGTACAAGAAAGAAGAAGAAAAATGCGTTCTTAGTAGGCAAATAAAACCCTAATAATTGGGAGTAAGGAAAAGTAAGTGTGTGAAATATTTTTTGAAACACGGATAGACCAGAAAACGATGAATTAAATAATAAATTATTAAAATAAATTAATAATTAATAATAAATTAAATAATAGCGCATATAAATGCGCTCCTAGTTAAAGTGACGGCCAGTGCCGGCAGCCGAGAATCTCTGTCCGACTGCCTCTTAAAACCAGGGAAGTACGGGTGTATCAGCTGATCGGAATCCCTAGACGCATTAGATTATGTAAAGCGATCTTTTTTACAGAGCTGCATGGATTAATTAGTATCTAAAGGTCAACTATTTACCACGCCAACTTCGAAACACCATGTATAGCTTAGAATTTAATTTACAATGTTGTACAAGCTAACGGTCATAACAAAATAACTAAATGTAAAATACTAAATTACTTTAAGATTAAAGATTTATTTCGGCCATTAAGTTATGTAATCCCGTCACAGCTCAATAAAAATATGTCAATTCAGGACATGTTCGGTGTTAAAACACCATCGTCAGCTTCAGGATTGAGCTGTGACGGGATTACGTAAGTAATGTAGTCTTACATTGTGTCCAACAGCTCAGGGGCTACACAGATGGATTCAATAACTTACTTAGAGCAAAATCGTTATTCTATAAATTGAAGGGGGCATTAGTTTACTCGCTGGAGATTCGGACAGTAAAATTCCTAACATACCTGAATATCAAGAAGAGCAGCAAGACACTATTCTCGTCTCAGCCTGAGACCCGGAAGCAGTGAGAAGACCCACCTGGACCTTACTGTCAACCGGAAACAGTGTGACCCGTGCTGCATTAGAGAGGCAATAAATGTTCTACAAAAAATAACATATTTTATAACACTGTCTTGCCATGTGTTGAAAAAGCCATTCGATTTTTATCTAGAAATAATTGATTGTTGAATTACAAAGAAACTGTAAGAAATGTTCTACAAAACCTTAACTACCTTTCTTCATAGCCCTTTTCCTAAATACAAAAATTTCCTCAGTTATTATTATCAATTATCAATCATTGTGATGGGGACGCCACCCTAGGTGTGTATTTTAACCCAAATATGAGTGAAGAATGAGTGTAGAATGGTGTGAGATGATCTGTGTAGCTTCAGTAGTATCAGCTGATTCATTAGCCAGGATCATTTATTGAAAGCCCAATGATCAGGACAGCTGGGTCCAGTTTCGAACCATCAAAAAGCTGCTGACTTTTCTCAGGATCGAACCGTAGACCTTTTGACTGTCATGCGAGGCCTATGTTCTACGTCCTTCCTATGTCCTGTGTCCTCTGTATTTAACTACTCTGCTAATATAACAGGTCAGTCTTGTAAAGCAAAAACTTTTCAAGTAAATATACAAATTCCTGATAATTGCATCGATCAGCTGTTTCATTAGATTAATTAAATCATTTAAACTTTCGAAGCATTAGGCAGGTCTACACGCAAGGATTTACCGTACGTTTTACCTGCGCAAGTAAAACGTTGCAGTCAAATCGTTGCGTGTGTACCACAAAACTGTGCATTTTTGAGAACTGCGCGGAGACGGAAGACCGAGTGATAAAACTATTGCGGAGAGCATAGTTTTGACAACGTTTTCAGACAAGTCGTTGCGTGTGTACACTGTCATCCGTTTCAACTCCGTCTTCACGCTCAAAACCCCAGTATTCAGTGTTGTCTTCACGTGCTGTCAGTCTGTCAGAGGTACAAGTATGTTTTTTTTTTATTAGGATCGCAGATCTTCGCCAATGTTCCCGTGATTTTATTGTTGAATTCATCGAACTGTACAGAAGTTTTCCTTATTTATGGAGGGTTAGGAAGGAGTAAGGAACATAGTGATAAGAAAAAGACTTGGATACTTTTGAAAAATAAAAAGCAGTAGATTCGAACGTGAACAGAGAAACTATTATGTTTGGATTTTTAGTAACCAACGTCTTGACCATAGTGAGCGCCGTCGTCGCTCAGACTTGCTTTCTTGTGGCTGCAGAAATCGACCACAGTAACACATCTTCCATGATATTACATGCACATACACTGAAAGTTATCACAAAACTATACTAAAAGTTGGTGCTGAAACCTGAACCGAGTGGACGCATTTCTTTTTACCTTCTCAGGTAAAACGTAAGCGAGATCCTTGCGTGTAGACCCCCCTTTGGTGCCCCTAAGGAAATCTGTCTGTGGAGCAGATCCCTAACGAAATTCGTTAATACGAATACTTTTTGGTAAATCTACACACTCTAAGCTTCATTTTGATGTGTCATATGCATTTATATTTATTTTGTAAAAGGCCTTAAACGATGTCCACAAATATGACTGTAACACGTTAATAACTTAATAGAAGATATTATTTAATAAATGTGATACAATATTAAATGTTAACTAACCAACAGTGAAATAAGTTAAATAACCCGAAAGATATTAGTCTTTAGATTATTACCATCACCATTGACTATCCATCACGTTTTAGTATTTAAAAAATAAAAGCGGCAAAGGCAACGCATTTAAACAAACTACACAACACTGGAAGTTAGATTAATGATCGCCAAATAAATTGTTATAAAACTAAAAAAAAGAGTAACAACCTATAACCAATGCAAATAAAAAGTAAAATAATACCAAAAACTACATTGACAATAAATTGTGTTTGGTATATGGTAATAACGATTACTAAACAGAAAATTCAGCGGAAATTATTTCACCAAAAACAAAAACACTTCCCTGCTAAATAATGTGTCTACAACATCGAATAGTAACATTATAGATATGACTTCTTAAACACGGAGGAATTCCTTTATTTATTTAATGAAACAACAAAGAATGCACATTTATCTGAGTGTTTCAAATATTGTAAAGAATCTAAAACATTGTTTAACCTCTTCCACAATTCAAACTCCTAAATTTGAAAATTGAATTTGAATAGGTCGAAAAAACTGGGCAAATATGAGAAAGGAATCTTTATAAAAAATGTTTGAACAAAAAAAACATTTTGAAAATATTGCAGTGCTGCGAGGAATGAAGTCCGTTTTGGTTTTTTTTACGTCCGTTATGTCAATGTATAAATTTTTATACTTTTGCTCCTTTTATAGTCACTTTGTTTACTTATATTTCGAGAAAGTAGTTTTATTGCCACACAGCTGATTAAGACAATTAAAATTGAAAATCAAATAGTAAAATTAGTAAATTAGTAAAACTTTCATAGAGAGTGATGGGTGGATAACCGTTTAACCATTTCTCACTATAGATAAAAAGAACACGGCGAAGCACGGTTAGCATTCTTAATTCACTGAAACTAATTTTTTTTTGGTCCTTCGAACCGGATAGGTTTCAATAACTTTTTCAATAAGTTCAATAAGTTTTGCATAGACAGTGATGGGCGAATAACCGTTTTAACCATTTTTCACTGTAGATAAGAAAAACATGGCGAAGCACGGTTGTAATTTTTTTAATCCACCAAAACCAAATATTTTTGGTCCTTCGAACCGGATAGGTTTCAATAACATATATTGTCCAATTTGGTTGCAAATGACGTCTTAAAATCAAGATTTCCCTTTGAATTTTCCGAATCCATTGCTTTCTAGTAACACGAGTTGCCACGGAGGGCTTGTATTTCCATCCCACTCGAAATAAGTGAGACATGTTTATGCACGGATATAGTTTGTGTATTTTGGCCGTCCAATCGTTTTGAGGCCCCGCCTTTTTCTTCCACCCCCACTTAACACCTCATTTCTCTTCACCCCCGCCCCCGCCCACCCCTTGCTAATCACCCTGTCCGACCATAATCTGACTTCTAATCTGTCAGAGTTAATCTGTGGGTTAGGCTGCATTTTTGTGCATTTTTGTGTTCGCATATGAGTGGTCTGGAGTTTTGACAATTAAATTCAACGGTAAGTAAACACTCATTTTTGTTATTTTATTTTATATTTGAATATACAGCTGATTTATTTATATGCAATTTGCTCAGTTATGATGAGCATGGATCGTGAGTGAAAATATTTAAAGATTCTACTAGGCCTAATTTAGCTTACTTTTAGAAATAAATTTTATAAATTCTTTAATTGGTGAAGAAATGAATGCTAACTAAAACAAATAATAAAAATTTACCTTGTGAAGTTCTTCTAGTAAAAATGTATGTTCGTGTCCACATGTTAGGGTTTACTTTGAAATTATTCCTCAAAATTATGGCCACAAATATTATAAATGTCAAAAGATTTAAGAACGGATAAACGGATTTTAAAAGTTATTTCGTATACAACTGGCATTATCTCATATTAGTAGTGTGGGCAAGGAATCTATTTTTCCGCTATAGTTATTTGTGCAACTAGTGAGAAAAGTGAGCAATTGACTCACTCGAGAGAAATCCTTACTCACGAGCCGTAGGCGAGTGAGGAATGGTTTCTCGAGTGAGGCAATTGTACTTTGAACTCGAGTTGCACATTATACTTTTCCTACAGTTACCATAAAACAAATAAATTTGTGAAGAAACATAACCTATTTTTACACAGAAGTGAACTTTTCATATAACATTTAATGTGAAGTGACAAATACAACAGTACAACAGCTGACCAGCTGATTTACAGCCAGTGCTGCCAACGTATTTCGCGCGCATACGACGTTGCCTGCATGTTACGCGCTCACTATTTCTTGCCTTCACGTTGCAAATCTGGAGTGAGACAAAGTAATTAGAGTGAGACAATGTTAACATTGTCTCACTGATGAGCGAATTGGCCACTTTGCTTTCTCAAATCAGTGAGAGAACATGTACATTGTTAGGTAACTGTAGGAAAATGTATTTGTGTCAATATATTGAAAGTAAAAAGTTGTTTAACTTCGTTCAGTTCACGCTTTTGCTAACTATTCACTGACAACAGAAATATTTAGTTCTAATAATACATAATTTAGTAGACAATAATAAATCTATAAAGAAAAAGCTTGCAAGGACATAGATTGGCTGTACGTAATTTTTAAGACAATTAAAACTAAGATTTGGAATACTGGCTTTTTAAGTTACCTAACCAAAAAAGGTATTTATCAAGAAGGAAAAATCGAGGTACAAAATAAAAATACCAACATCTTATAAACACTTTAGATGTACCTGGTGTCTCCCATTTTAATTTTTAAGGTATAATTATTAGTAGTAGTAGTAATTACTAGACCAAAATACAAACTAAAATATCGTATTAAAATTCCAAAACTCAAAAGTAACCCGTACAGTGGCGATTTTTAACAAAAATTAATTAGCTATTAGACAATGGCTTATTTTTTTAAATTAACATTTTGTATATAGATTATTAGCGCAAAGACCTGTTGTAAGAAATCTATTATTATAGTTAAATGTTTTGTTTCAAAACGGTTAAAAAAATTTCAAATGTAAATACAGTAACATAAAAACTGCATAGAGAAACAACAATGTTGTATCGATAATTTATTTAGAAGATTTTATACAATTATAGATACAATATAGATTTTACCTACGACCGTTTTTTAAAGTAGCCATTTCAGTCCAGTTCTTAGAATTGAAAAGTTTCACTTTACAGCTGTTTACTTTCATATCCGCATAGTTTCATTTCATATCCGCATAGTTTTCTCATATCCACACAGGTAACGGACCAATGAGGTTCAAGTATTGAGAGAAAATAATTAAAATTGTAATGCTTCGAACGTCAACTAATCAGCTGATCAGCTGATCAGTTGACCAATTTAATTGTTGATCCGACTTGTTCATGTTGATACTCGCGTATTCTTAATTAAGTTGTTGGAAGTCCAAAAATAAATGAAATATTTGCCGAATTGTACCTGATACAGTATTATTTATGGTAAGAATGCTGCTAGCAATGTAATATTTAACGAAGTTTAACAAACACGTAATTACAGGAAATCAGCTGATTATACAACAAGTCGTCGCATCACTTTCAGTGGCAATGACAATACACGAAAACATAACCTCTCTAAAAAGTTATCATTAGTAGTCCAGTAAATAGAGGTATGTTAACTTACAAACGGTCCGGTAAGTCTAAATTTTTTATATGTTGTCTAGGATGGTAAGTAAGTGTTTAAAATGAAAAATGCACAATTCTCCACCCTCCGCGCCCGCCGCCATATTGAAAAATCGATAAAATCTGTACTTTCTAGACATTTTTGCCTATATCTCCGTTTTGGTGCGTTTTAGCGAAATATATGTAATGTAAATGTTATAGACAATTAAATTTCCTATAATATAAGTATAACAATTTGGTTCTAAGACTTATGGTTACGAAAATATTTAAATTTTTATACAATAAAACATCAATTTTTTTGTTATTTTGACAAATCTCTATTAGTCCAAGCAAGCTAAAAAAAACTGACACAGGGAACGTTAAAAAAAATTGCAAGAAAACGTTTTATGGTTTTATTTTGTAGTGTTGGGTCTGCAGAGTGACATACTAAAAGTCAAGCAAAAAATCGGTCCACAGAAAACCCCCTAAAATCACGATAAAAAATGGCGGCTTTTCTCAACATTGGACAAATTTGAAAAAAAATATACCACTTGCATGTTTTATTCAAAATTTTGTGAGATATTGACTTGGTACGACCACCGAAGTTTATTGGGTGGTTAGTACTTTATTTACATGGGGAACTCATTTTTGGCCGCCATCTTGGATCCACCATATTGGATATAAATAAAGAAAATTGAATGCAATGATGACGTTGTGACACATCATTATAAACCAGATTTTCACGCTGATTTCAATGCCGAAATCCGTTTTTAAATATCTGTTTACGTTTTGAAGATATAATCAAACGAAAACTCTCCCCCATACATTTTTATGGAAGTTTCGTACTTGGAATGTTTTTAAATGCAATTTCGGTTATATCTCCAGTTCTTATCAACTCTTGCAGTTCAGTCTAGCCTTTAAATATTCCGTGATGTAAGCGCTTTCACCTATTAATCATTGGAATCGAACGAGTTAGCGAAGAGCTACAATCCCCAAAACAATAACAAAGATTTAAAAAAAGTTACATTTCATATTGTTTTAGGTTTGTAGCTCGTTGCTAACTCGTTCGATTTGAACGATTAATAGGCAAAATGAAAGCGCTTCTGTTCAGTCTAGCCTTTAAATATTCTGTGATGTAAGCGCTTTCATTTGACCTATTAATCGTTCAAATCGAACGAGTTAGCAACGAGCTACAAACCTAAAACAATATGAAATGTAACTTTTTTTTAAATCTTTGTTATTGTTTTGGGGATTGTAGCTCTTCGCTAACTCGTTCGATTCCAATGATTAATAGGCGAAAGCGCTTACATCACAGAATATTTAAAGACTAGACTGAACTGCAAGAGTTGATAAGAACTGGAGATATAACAAAAATGGTATTTAAAAACATTCCAAGTACGAAACGTCCATAAGAAATGTATGGGGGAGAGTTTTCGTTTGATTATATCTTCAAAACGTAAACAGATATTTAAATACGGATTTCGGCATTGAAATCAGGGTGAAAATCTGGTTTATAATGATGTGTCACAACGTCATCATTGCATTCAATTTTCTTTATTTATATCCAATATGGTGGATCCAAGATGGCGGCCAAAAATGAGTTCCCCATGTAAATAAAGTACTAACCACCAAATAAACTTCGGTGGTCGTACCAAGTCAATATCTCACAAAATTTTGAATAAAATATGAAGTGGTATATTTTTCTCAACATATAGGATACGCGTCCGGTAACCGGACGTGAATAAGGCGTACGGCAATGACGTCATGGGGTTGCGGGAGCCTGGAACGCCTATACTACAACAATACCATGACCAGCCATCGGTGGTCGTGGTGCAGTGGATAAGGTGCTCGGCTGATATGCAAGAGGTCCAGGGTTCGAGTCCCATTGGTGACTTTAACCTTTTGTCGAAGATTTTGCATTGAATACCATTTCTTCTTAACTGTACATCTTTTATTAGAATTTTTGGCATTTATAATTTTTTTTTTTAGAGAAAGAATTTAACCTTAATTCGATTTTTTCATTATCAGCAAGTTTGGTTGGTTAGGTTAGGTTATGACAGTAATTGCCGGACGTCTAATCCACGTCTGGTTACCGGACGTGTATCCTCTGCCTTTTTTCAAATTTGTCTAATGTTGAGAAAAGCCGCCATTTTTTATCGTGATTTTAGGAGGTTTTCTGTAGACCGATTTTTGGCAACTTTTAGTATGTCACTCTGCAGACCCATCACTACAAAATAAAATCATAAAACGTTTTCTTGCAATTTTTTAACGTTCCCTGTGTGAGTTTTTTTGGTTTGCTTGGACTAATAGAGATTTGTGAAAATAACCAAAAAAATTGACGTTTTATTGTACAAAAATTTAAATATTTTCGTAACCATAAGTCTTAGAACCAAATTGTTATACTTATATTATAGGAAATTTAATTGTCTACAACATTTATATTACATATTTTTCGCTAAAACGCACCAAAACGAAGATATAGGCGAAGATCTCTAGATAGTACAGAATTTTTTTGATTTTTCAATATGGCGGCGGGCGCGGAGGGGGTAGAATTGTGCATTTTGCGGTTTTAACACCTACTTACCATCCTAGACAACATATAAAAAATTTAGACTTACCGGACCGTTTGTAAGTAAACCCCCCTATTTTTGTCTCTATTTACTGGACTATAGTGATTGTTAGTAATTAAATCCAGATTGATAGTAATTAAAAAACGGTCGTAGGTAAAGTAGTGTACGCAACTCGCGTTAATAGTCTTTACGACACTCGTAGAAGTTTTTAAGGCACTCGCCAAGGCTCGTGCCTTAAATTTTCTACTCGTGTCGTAAAGACTCACTTAACGCAATCGTTGCGTAAACTACTATTATACAATTCTAACAATATTAAGAAATTTGGTTTTTAAATAAGGGAGAAATAATTATTTCAGATAGTGTTTACAACAATATTTGAGCTTATTGGATAGCCAACAATTAAAACAGCTGATTGTTTTAGCTAACAAGGTTTAATGTTACCTGACGTAAGCAAAATCAATGTAAATAATGTTAACAATGGATTTTAAAAGTTATTTCGTATATAAAAAAGGGTGATATGATATGGTAGTTATGGGATATGAGACACCGTTAAACTCTTAAAGCTAAAGGTGTTTTAACTTGAAAGAACAGAATGTAAATTGCCCTTGTGTAATATCCGTGTTGTATTTTAAAATTTAATATTTTCAACCATTTAATTCAAATCGAATCAACGTTTTAAAAAGGCTTATAGAAATTGATGTTGAACATGTTACAGTTTCGAGCCTTATTAGCTTTATATGATGATTAGCATATATACACAGGGTGGTGCAAAAAAAGGAAACCCAAAAAATTATTAATAGTTTACTAAAACAAATCTTGCAATTACTTAACTAAACAAAAACACGTGTCATTCTTTGTTAGCAACAACATATTCCATTCGGTCCATGATCTTGCTGGCCATCTCAGAGCACTGCTGGGCGGACATTTCTCTGAACATAGCTCTTAGCGTTTGGGTTTCCTTTTTTTGCACCACCCTAAGTAGGCCTACTAAAGTTTCAATTTGATTTTTTACCAACAAAATCGGATATATTTAAATTCATACTCTACTGCAATTTTTCGACTAAATCGAAACTGGAAAAACTATTCATCTATAAGTCAATACTATGACCTCCACCAGGGATGCCTCGGCGGCGGCCTCGGCGCCTCTCCCTCAGCGAGGACGAGTGTGACGACGACGACGGCAGAGAGCGGCCTCAGCAGCGGAACGCCGCCAACGCCCGGGAGAGAGCGCGCATGAGAGTGCTGAGCAGAGCCTTCTGTCGGCTGAAGACCACACTGCCCTGGGTGCCTCCGGACACCAAGCTGAGCAAACTGGACACCCTGAGGCTGGCCACCTCCTACATCGCGCACCTCCGAGCCGTCCTGTGCCTGGAGGACGAGGATGACGAGGTCAAGAACACTGTACATCCACTCAACCTGGTGAGTATCAAGTGTTTCGATTTTTAGCTTCCATGGTTGTATATTTGTGGTCTTCGGGTGAAGGTGAAGACATAGTCAAAATTGGCGAAAGTATATATTCCAAAGTTTCAGTTTTGATCTATGGTGTCATCATCAGGGTGACTTGATTTCAGCCCAGATATCACTTTTGCTGCGTCAGGGCAGGGCTAGAGATATTCACATATCTAGTATATGTATATCTCTAGCCCTGGCGTCAGGGCCTAAATTCATGCCATTATGAATAATTGGTTAATAAATTGTCATACACGGTCGAATCCCATAGGCCTACAAATTTTCAACCGTCACATTACAGAAAAAATATACAGAACTACATAGAAGTAATACGATTCCGAAATACGAAAATAGTTTTCTGAGTGCGAAAATAATGCCAACCAAGCAAAGTAGCATAATATCGTTACAATATGAAATATGTTTTACGCTCAAGGCGTCAATGAAAACTTTAAAACATAATGTATGATCTCTGCATACAAAATACATGCAGTATTCACTCGAGGTGTAATTCAATTTCACTATATCTCATATTGAAATTTAAAAATATACATTTACAGGCTAATCTATATATATATGAAAATCCAATGTATGTTTGTATGTATGTATGTTTGTCCTTTATGGACTCCGAAACCACTCGACAGAATGTAATAAAACCTTCAGGCGTTATTAAGCATTTCAAGGATGGTTATTAGGATGGTTATTTCAAGGATGGTTTGTGTGAAGTTTGGTGCAGATCCGTCAAAAGGGCTCCGCCCCAGTGGCTCTGGAGTTTCCCATGTTAACCTTATGAGTACTCACATTTAAATGGAATAATAGAATCTTAACAGCTGGTTCAACTAAACAATATGATTCTGTGATGTTCAATATTATTAAAAAGTTAATAGGTTTACCAACAGGGTGCAGCACCTTTTTTAATTTATGACAACAGCTAATTTGCAACCAAAAGGTGAGTGAGCGTAGCGAACGAACTTCAACCTGGAGGCGAGTTAGCGTAGTGAACGAGCTAACTTGAAGGCAAGTGAGCGCAGCGAACGAGCTCCAACGTAAAGGTGAGTGAGCGTAGCGAACGAACTTCAACCATGACGTGATTGAGCCATGCGAACGCGCTTATCTTGAAAATGAACGAGCATTTGACATAAAACCACAATAGGACAGGACTGTCGGGCCAGCTAGTAAAATATAAAAATGAATACAGTAATGAATACGTTAGACGCCCACCTTCAACTGAGACCTATTAATTACAAGTTTTGCCTAATTATAGTGAGAAATTCTTAAAACACCTTTTAAGCAGTGCGGTAGCGGCTCGCCACATACAGAAAACGAGTTAAAATTCTCCGTAACCAGCCAGTACTAGATTGTGTATAAAACCCTAGGGTTAAATATTTTAAGGTGAAAATTAATTTTGATTAGAGTGAGATGATCTACTTAGTTTTGTTTCAAAGACGAACTTTTCTTTATCCAAGACTATTTATACCTTTTTTTAGCCAACGATAAAGGACTGCTGGGTTCAGATTCCAAACTATCAAGCTAGATTTTTCTCAAGATCATACTTTTCTGACATTATATGTCAAACTCATTCTTCAGCCATTCCTCCTACAGTAATGTTCCCACCTCAATGTTAGGAGTTGTCTAACCAGTATTTGTTTAGGTTTGCGCGGCCGGATCCGACACCCACAGTGTGAAGACTCATTTGGGGATGTTCTCATGTTTTTGCGCCAGGGTGGTTTTTGTTACTCTCGGGTCTATTTGACCTTTGTAGCACGTGTAAGCGCTATTAAATCTATTATTGGCGTATTTGTCACGGGTTTTTAATTTTTGTTATTTATTAGGGGGCTTAGGGGGTTTAGTTTTGGTGAGTTATTGAAACCTCTAACCAAATATTGGGATATAGTGAAAATCGTTAACCTAAGTTATAAGACCTTTTCCATTGTACCACTGGTTTTTCTGGATGTAATTTCATATCTACAAATATTGTTTGGGTTAGAACCGAGGCACAAATTAAAAATTTAAAGGTCAATTAGTCATTGTGTATGCAGTGTATAAAATGTACACGTAGTAGTATCTTAGTCACAAGACAGCAACGTACTTTTGTACTTTGTAAACTGAAAATGAACGCCAAAACAGGGTTAGTATCTCAAGTCTAACATAAAGAATGATCTAATCAAGATTTCCGTCAATAATTAACCCACCATAACGAAATAAAAAATCTTTTTAGCCCGCTATAAATTCCTTCCACAAGACAATAAGAACAATCAAAAGGTCACCGGTTCGATCCTGAAAAAAGTGTGCATCTTTTTGATGGTTCGTTACTGGACCCAGCTGTCCTGATCTTTGGGTTTTCAAAAAAAATTGTCCTGACTAATGAAACAGATGGTCTTCAGCTCCACTTATGGAGATCACACTTCATTCTGCACTCATCTTTCACTAATATTTAGGTTTAATACGCACATGTGGCGTTCCCATCTCAAATGAATTTGAATATTTACAAAGAGAGCGACTATTTTTGGATGAACTGAATATAAATACCAATGTAGGGTTGTATAACTTAAATAATTATCCGATCAATATCCGTCAAGATTTTAACGACCGTGACGGTAAAAATAAAATTCTTTTCAACCCACGATAAAATTCCTCTCCGACGACACAATACATGAAAGCCTGATATCATCCACCTGGTACAGCCGGCACGGCGCCAGCGATGTAAACAAATAACAAGTAAACTATCCAAGATGGCGGCGCTCTTAACTCTAAACCGCGCCAAACGTGAGCAGCTGGTTTTATTTTACAAACGTCTCTAAGTACTCGGAATCCGAAGCTTCAAGGGTGTCAGATACAAACAAAATGATGTAAACAAGACCCAGTTTATAGTTTGGAGGGTTACAGTGATTTATGTTGTAAGATTTGTGGGAGTGAACTCTTTTGGTCTTTAATTTCTCACAGTATGGTTGGCATATTTTTTTCTATCTGTTAAAGAGTTCGTATGTCAGAAAAAGTTCGTTTATGTCCCACCTCCACATCCTAGGACGCTAGGTTCTAGCCCAGAACCGTTTTACTAATTACTTCAGGTTAGTCCTAACGTGGCATTATCACATGGATAAAATCTGTTGGCAATTGGCGGGATTTCAACCCAGGACCTCGGGCTACGATGCCCCGCACTCTACCACTAAATCAGCTCGCTCCCAAAAATAGTAGGAACTAATTTCAAAAGATATTAAGGTGTAGCTAGGTCGGGGCGCCCGTATTGCGCCAGAGGGTCCAGGTAGCAGGCCCGCACTGCACCAGCACTTCCACCCAAAATCAGACCTGTACTGTGCCAGAGCGGCCTTTTCTTTGTAATAATAGTTCTGAGAGAAACTGTCCTATTAATGAGTCTGAGAGTTCATTCAGTGTTATATAAACACTCTGTGACTTATCCTACTAATATTATATAACCAACTAAACTATTATATATCCTAATATATCTATAAGTATAAAAGAGGATGTTTGTATATATATTTGTTTGTTTGTTTGGCAGTGATAAACTCAGACACCGCTGAACCGATTGCCACGAAACTTTGGTACATACTTGTAGAATGTCATGGAATAGGTTTATACCCATGTTAACCTTATGAGAAATGGAATTAATGAATCTTAACAGCTGTTTCAATTAAACAAGTTGGTTCTGTTCTATGATGTTCAATAGCATTAAAGTTACAAGGATTACCAACAGGGTGCAGCACTATTATATCTTTTACATTTATGACAACAGCTAATTTGCAACCAAAAGGTGAGTGAGCGTAGCGAACGAGCTCCAACCTAAAGGGGAGTGAGCGTAGCGAACGAACTTCAACCAGGGGCCCATTTCATAATAAAGTACAAACTAATGTTATTAGTAAATCAGCTGATCGCCCAATGCAAATCTAATGGAAATTACAAGTTACAAGTTGCAACTTGTAAATTGTAGTTTAAATGGGCCCCAGGACGTGATTGAGCCATGCGAACGAGATAATCTTGAAAATTAAGAAGTTAAACGGGGCAAAGCCCGCGGGATTATAAATAGTCTAAGGCAAGACAACGTATGCCGGGTTCAGCTAGTTATATATATATATATACAGGGTGAGTTTTAATTGTCCCCCCCCCAACTTTTTTCTACATTTTTTCAAATATCAATCCCAGACCACTTCCAAACATTGTTGGGTAGTAAGTACTTCATTTTGACAAGGTGGTCATTTCCGGTCGCCATCTTGGATCCGCCATATTGGATGTAACATTTTTTTTTCAAATGTAAAGGTGGGGTTGTGACCCATTATTTCGAACTACATTTTTACCCTGATTACAATGCCGCAAACCTTTTTTAAAAATCTTGATTCATTCTAAAGTTACAAGGGCTTTTTAAAACTTTATTTTTAGCCCATTTTAACATTGTGTATTTACAAACTAAGACCATAATCCCAAAATAGTGCTAGATAATGATAAGTATACACTACTAGTAATTGTCCACCTATTTTCACTTGGTTATGACTGATGTATTTTTTTCGGCCGCCATCTTGGATCCGCCATTTTGAAATGTGATAAATTATTTTAAATATGAATGGGGTGTTGTGACCCATCATTTCGAACTACTTTTTTAAGCTGAACTTAATTCCATAATCCGTTTTTCATTTTCATTTTTTGATTTTGAAATATTGACATTTTTAACAAAAAAATTTCAATATTTCAAAATCAAAAAATGAAAATGAAAAACGGATTATGGAATTAAGTTCAGCTTAAAAAAGTAGTTCGAAATGATGGGTCACAACACCCCATTCATATTTAAAATAATTTATCACATTTCAAAATGGCGGATCCAAGATGGCGGCCGAAAAAAATACATCAGTCATAACCAAGTGAAAATAGGTGGACAATTACTGGTAGTGTATACTTATCATTATCTAGCACTATTTTGGGATAATGGTCTTAGTTTGTAAATGCACAATGTTAAAATGGGCTAA